TGGTCTCTGTATCTGCTCACTTTCTTCTCATATTTTTCTGTAAGGTTGAGCTTGAAGTATTTTCAGTTTTAGTTTGCATCCTCTAAAAAGAGGTGGCTTTGTGAGGCTCTCTCTTCTGAACGTTAATGTTCCAGCTTTCAAAAATATAGGAGCATTTTTCAGTAAGTAAGCATGTTCCTAACGTCACATCTCAGTGGCTTTTTTGACATTTAAGTGTCTATGGGCTTCAGCTGTCAGACACACCACCTGTTCCCTGGAGTAAAAATAACCATGACTGGAGTAAAATAGATAGTGAACAGTTAAATACTGCAGAGAAACTTTTTACTTGAAAAAAAGGAAAATGCGCGGGTGGGTATGTAAATGTGATATCCTTGCTGTCAGACTGGTGTGGAGTGGCGTCCGATCGTGACTTACCATGTGCAGCAGTGAGTTTGAGTGAGTGTGGTGGAAGTTTGCCATAAGCAAGGGTAGTTAGTGGTCAGAACACACATAATTTTTTGTGTAATGTTGATGACAGACGTAACTAGTAAAGCCACAGCTGGATGTTCGTTGGGTTCAGTAGGCTGAGTTGACTTTACCTTCTGTGTTGTTTTAAAGCTAGTCCAGGAAAACATTCAATTACCTGGGAGATTTTTTTTTCAGAGGCACTTCAGGGACGTAGCAGCACCAGTTGTGCTGGAAGTGCACAGAACTTGCACTTAGTATCTCCTCTGTGACCTCCTCGGAGACTTTCATTCTGAAAAAAGGTCCTTCTATGGCATCTTGTATCTGAGAGGGCATGTCATGGTTCTCCTTAAAGCATCCAAGCCCCTAAGCCTTTTGGCCATAGCAGCAGAGTAAATTTGGTTACAAAGTTTCCGTGGTAAAGTTTTTCAGAGTTTAGATCTTCAAGTTCTGACTTTCTGCCAGTAAACAGTGGGAGACAGCTTTGATGAAAATGTGCCATTTTGAATAGGGAGGGAAATTTTATAACACCAAACATCTGAAAAGACAAGAGAAAACTGGGTGCTTCATGGGAACCTTCGGGTGCTGCAGCAGGCTTGTGAAGAACATTGTGCATACGTGCTGAGCAACGGGACAGATCAGACACTTCCCCTCCTGTCCCATATGATAACTCTATTCTTAATTTTAAATAATTTAAAGTGAAAAATAGAAACCAAATATGAAGTGGAGTATGGAGTACTGCATCCAGCTCTGGGGCCCCTAACATAAGAAGGACATGGACCTGTTGGAGCGGGTCCAGAGGAGGGCCATGAAGATGATCAGGGGGCTGGAGCACCTCTCCTATGAAGAAAGCTGAGAGAGTTGGGGTTGTTCAGCCTGGAGAAGAGAAGGCTCTGGTGACACCTTATTGCGGCCTTTCAGTACTTAAAGGGGGCTTATAAGAAAGACAGGGACAAAGTTTTTAGCAGGGCCTGTTGCAACAGGACAGGGGGGGAGTGGTTTTAAACTAAAAGAAGGTAGATTTAGACTAGATGTAAGGAAGAAATTTTTTACGATGAGATAGTGAAACACTCGCACAGGTTGCCCAGGGAGGTGGTAGATGCCCCATCCCTGGAAATGTTCAAGGTCAGGTTGGACGCGGCTCTGAGCAACCTGATCTAGTTGAAGAATGTCCCCGCTTATTGCAGCGGGGTTGGACTAGATGACCTTTAAAGGTCCCTTCCAACCCAAACTATTCTATGATTCTATGAAATATTTTTTAAATTGAAAAAAAAAATTGTTACACTATATAAAAGCATTTAAGGAATATAAAATGAAAAGGAAATTGAGGCAATGAAGTCATACACAGTGGTTGTATGTTTGTATAAAAGAATCTGCTAGTGTGATTTGCTTTAAGGGTGTTGATGATCCCAGTATGTCTAAAATAAAATCACTTGGATTTAAAATTAATTTAAATCACAGTAAGGAGTAATTCATTACAGCAATTTGATAAGAAACATGAGGTTAGGAAACAAATGCTCCCCTGGCCCCTCTGAATTTCTTCACTGCTCCTGTCTTTCAAAGCGTGAGGAAAGGCAAACAAATTACTGCAGATGAAGTAGACCTCTCTTGCGTTCCCTCCTGCATTGTGGCGAATGAAGTCTGGGAGTGCCCCCTGCATAGCACGTGTTAGCTATGAGAAGAGCTGCTGTAAAGAAAGCATGCTTTCTCTGGGGCTAGTGCAGGTAAAGAAATTCCCTCTTGATACACAAAAATTCTTAAAAGTTACGAAGCCAAGCCTGGGTTGTTGGTTTTTAAAACTAGCAACTTTGAAACAGAAACTTCTTTTGCTTTTAAATGAGGAAGCTCTTTTTTTTTTTGGGGGGGGGGGCGGCGGTCGGTGCTCAGAATGGGTACATTTCTCTTTCTGGGTTTTTTCTGTTATGTCTGTCTAGCTTCAGGCTGATTCAGCAAGATTTAGTATGAAAATAGTCCTATGAAACTTAAGAGTCAGCTGGGAACTGTGTGCTTGCTGAAGATAGCCAATTTCTAAAAACATTTAGAAAAGTACTTTTCGGGAAAAAAAAAGAAGTATTTGGTTCTAAGGATATGGTTTGAGAGGTACTGGCACACATGTGGGACTGTATGCTGGGTTACTGTCACCCTGAAAATTAGTGAGAGAACTTCTAGCTGCAATATTAAAGCTTATTTAATCTTTTTTAACAATTTGGAGTATTGTAACATTGTATTGTACTGGTGTTTGCCCTCATGGTTCTATTTTAGCTACACCTCTGAAGAAACATATTTGTCCAGCATGTGAAATATTATGCAGTAGTAAAGAAAAAATATGCCATCTGTGTTTTACGGCTGATCATCTGTTTTCAGCTTCACTTGTTTTTTGCTGAGTTGCCTGAAGCAGGACTTACTCAGCCTGAATTAACTGAAGCAGACTTCAAAATCGTGAGAATTTCCATGATCATTCTGAAAGGTTTTGTAAGCTCTTGAAAATGTTTGGAAAAATAACTTGACACTTGTTTTGTAATTAAACATACTTGTCAGTCTCTGTGCCTAGAAGCTTGCTTTGCGTAATCGCTTTAGGGATTCATGAATCCACCCTTGTTTGAGAAGGAGAGGGCGAGATAAAGTCTTGCTTAAAAAAAAAAAAAACAAAAAACAAAAAAAAAAACAACAAAAACCCAAACCATAAATAAAAAAGACCTGGACAGCCTAAGTAAGGTGGAATTTACTCTGTACCCTGCTTAAGAGACTGTGTGCAACTTCTTGCTGTTAGCTTATCAAAGCAGAATGGGGCTGCTGGGGAAATCCCGCGTCCTACAGCTGCCTCATGCCAGGAGAGACGTCGGCGTGGGCACGTACAGTTCCCGTGCTCAGCTGGCCCGGTGAGACGGGGCTCGTGGAGACGTGCCTGCTGGCGGCCTCCTTGCAAGTGCCGCGCTCCGCTTCCGCTGCGCGAGGGCTTCCAGCACGTTGCTGAGTGCCATTAATAATCCAAAGGCAGAGAAGCGATTCGTTTGTTTTCCCCCTCCTGGTTGCAGGGCTGGCTCACAGCCTAAGCTACTTTGCTGGAAAAAGTAGCGATTTCTCCTGCACGCGTTAACTGCTTCTCTCGGAACGGTCTCTGCGCCGCTTGACCCGAGCTGCGCTTTGATCCCCTCCGCCATCGTCCCGTGGGCACATGCTCCCCGTCATCTCTGCACGCAGGAAGCAAATAAATACATTTTCCCTTCCCAGCACATCCTTTCTCTTTTCCCTAATTGTTGCGATCAATATACCGCTTAGGCTAATGGTTTGTTTGTCTCCCTGTGCTCTTTGGGAATAGAGGGATGAGAGCTCCTGTCACGACGTAGTGTTCCCGGGGTGGCGAGCTCCCTGCCCGGCCCAGTCTGCAGGGGCTCTGCCTTTCTTGAAGAGACACTGGAATTAAAGAGGAGTCAACATTTATTTGAATTAAATAAAGCACAGTTAAAGCCAAAATGCTGAAAACTGGGGTTTCCGTGTCCAGTGAGGGGGAGAAAACAACCTGGGCCTGGGAAGCGGGCTGAAAACAGACGAGGCGGTGGCTGTCAGTACGTAGTCTCCAATACTGCAGTTCCCCACGTTCAGGCTCTTCTGTAGAACCGCAGAAAAATTGAATACGGTGTTCATTACTATTTAGGCTTCCTGCACCCCTCCCTTTCTGGGATTCAGTACTGAAGCTTAAACCTAAATCTTTATGAATAAGCAAATGAAAAAATACCCAAGCACACACAGGTGAGGGACTGTAGGGGTTTTGTTGGGGCTTTTTTCAGTAGCAGGTGTGGTGCTTTACCCAGCCCTCATTCAGAAGGTTCTGCATCGTGGCCTGAAGTCTGGCCCAGAAAAAAATATTGGCTTCCTTTGGTCTTTGTGAGATGTTTTTCTGTGGGAATGGGAATTCACTTTATTACTCGCTATCTAATGGAGAGCCTGGCACTGCTGTGGGAGGGAATTTCTGTTTCTCCACCGAGACCGTGCCGTGTAACCAGGGACACAGAATAGCTTTCATCCTTGAAGACAGAACTAAAGATACATGTTTGCTTTGAATCCAGGGGCAGACTAATTGCACGTAGAGTTTGCAGGCAACTTGTTGGACCTATTGATCAGTTGACTGAAATATTGATGAGTAACTGCTGCATGTGTTTTCATTGCTGCCTGATGGAAGGATTAGAAAACTCAAGTTCATCATCTTGAAAGCGTGTTTGCCCTGTCATACCCAAACACAAGGCAAAAAGGTTTTGTGCAAAGGGCCTCAGGACGCTGGGGAAGGAGAGATGGGATTTCAAGCTCTAATCTAATTACAGTTTACATGTTGAAACAGTCACATGTTTTCTGCAGTGATATTTAAACTCGGCATCTTCATCTAAAGATGTGCTTCTGCCTTCCTATGCATCTGCCCCATCATTTTTTTTTAGGGGGGGAAAAGCACAGAACTTGTTTCCCCTCCCCTTTACTTCTTTGTACCGCTGCTTTGTGTCTGTGTGGTCCTTGGGTCCATCTTCCTTTGCCAGACTTTCACGGCTTTCTACGCCAACATCGGGATGGATGTTTGCCTTCTTCCTGGTCGAATCCAGTGCCCCTCTTTCAGTGGTGATAGTAGCCCTTCAGTTCCCTGTGCTTTGGTGCGAAATACTTTATAGTTTGTGCTTAATAGTTTTGTATTGTTCTTGTGGTTCTGAAGATACTCTGGAAATAATTTACAACAAATCTACTTCAGTCAAATCCCCTCCCTGAAATTACAGGCATCTAATTCCATTTTGGTTGCCCTGACATCCACGCTGCACAGACAGGTAAGATGTATGACCTACAGGAGAGCTTTACCCCTCTGGAGTTGCATGTGGAGGGGAGACAGGCTGTCATATGTTTGTAGTATCACTTCAGATGTCCCACGTTTGGACAAGTGAGTGTCATCCTTAACGTTGTACCGAAGTCACAAACTACGTAACATTTTCAATTTCTCGATTTAAGGAGTAGCTTTATTGCATGTGTATCTTATTTTTACGCATTCAAATGGAAACAGCTGAGACTTGTTCAGAGTCACAGTAATAAGAACCGATTGTACAACATATTTCCTAATTTTGTCTTCTGTCCACAGGTCCAGCAAGAACAAAGAAACCACACCGCAGAACCTGTAATAGATGACTATAAAAGGATGGGGACTCTCTTTGGCGAACTAAACAAAAGCCTTATCAGAATAGGCTTCACAAGGATGTACTTTGGAGAACGGATAGTAGAACCTGTAATAATTATATTCTTCTGGGTTATGCTCTGGTTTCTTGGCCTACAAGCTCTTGGACTGGTTGCTGTTCTGTGCCTTGTCATTATTTATGTACAACAGTAAAATTTTATAGATGCTGTTCGGATTATGTATTTCAACACTGTCACTATGTCAGTGGATTTAAGTGTTTAAGTAAATGGGTGGCATATCAAAAGCTGCAATGCTTCGAACTGCGTTTCGCTGAACTTCCAACATTTGGGGTGAGGGGGACTAAAATTACGAATTTTAAGCAAAGTCAGCAGTGCCCTACTACATCTTTGAAGGGCAAAAAAGGAGATGTTTATAATACAGTGGTGTCCAATGTACTGTTTTCTGCATTCTTGGGGCCTCAGTCCAAGGACTGGCTTTTTGTTCCCCCTCCCTCTCCTAGTGTTGTTGCTTTATATAGTGAAAATTTCCTGTCCAGTTTTAAGAGGACACTTGATGTGAGTGTCCTTTCACTGTTGGGGGGACTCGTGTGCTGTTTGTTCCCTGAGTTCGCATAATTTGCTAGTTTTTTGCTGAAAAGCTAAATCTGCACAAGGGAGGTTTGCTAACAAACCTACAATGACAAACGTTCATAAGGTGAATACAACTTCCTGACAAAAAAGCATCTTTGGTTAGTATAGTTTATAGCAAGCTTTCCCCCAGGAAACAAGCTATACCAGCAAAATGCTTTTATACTAATATTAGTGACTTCACACAAGGCTTTAGCTGTTGTATAGGAGGAATTGCAGTCCTATATTGGCCAAATGGTCTAACGTAGCTCTGCCTTGTTTTTGGAAATGTACTCGGCTCCTGCTGCTATTTTTCTTCCTTCTTTTTTTAGACTTGCTCTTTCCCCCAGCCCTCCTTCTGATGAGAAATATTTGGATAATTCATGGACTTTTTAGGTAGTTACAGCTGCAGTGTTGGAAAGTTGCCATTCCAGATGGCAATGCTCGAATATTGTCTGCTTCCTCTGGGTTGTGTGGAAGTGTCTGAACAACCAGACAGATATCAGACCAGATCTCTTAACGCTTCCCGAACTTGCTGCAGTGTGGACTCAACATGAGCTAGAAGCTTTGCGTCCATAAGCAAATCAGACCCGTTTCCTCATGCAAGGCAAGAATGTAGTTGAAATCGGGCGGTCATTTTATTTAGTAGTCTTAACTGATTCGTTTCCATGCTAGGCAACAAAAATGCGTATCTACAGGTTCATGGCATGGGCAAGACAAATTGGAGAATAGGATATATACATTCAAGAGTAGGTGCAAAATTCACTCTGGCTCCCCAGGAGTGTATTGAATATTTCGAAGTTGAATGTGCTGATTTAAAGAAAAACAGTAAAATGAGACAGAATCTTTACTAGACAGGCTACCAATTTAATATTTGCTGTACATTACTTTTAGTAAGAAACTTAATTGCAAGATTGACTTAATCTATGGTAGAGTGAAATTACACATTTACATAAAGAAATGTAATCGAAGATGTGAAATTTACAGAACCTTTTCCAGTGACTTTTTTCCTGAACGTTTTTATACTAGCAGAGATCAACAATAGATTAGTTGAAAATGCTGTCTTATCCAGAGACTTTTGAAGTCAAGGGGAGCTTCCTCATGGTCCCAGTCCTGCGACTGGATTTTGAAGGCTGATTTTATGCCTACATGGATCACATTGGTTGCTGGGCTCTATTTCCAGGACCCTTGGCCCCAGTCCTTACAGACTTTCCTATTAGTGAAATAATTGTTATTTAGGGCAGTGAACATGGAGGCCCAGCTTCTTAAAGTCTTTATGTGCCTAAATGCCACGTGTAGGCCTGTCTCTCTGCTTTTTAATGAAGGCATAATTACCTTCTGAGGAGCCGGTCTCCTCTCCAGATCTCCAGATGACCTTGACTGTGGATCCGAGAGGCTCTGCAGGGGACCAGGACTGAGCCCAGCTGTGTGTTTAGATGGCAACCTGTGTTGATTGGCACCTAGTTAAATAGTTATGCTGATGGCAGGGAAACGTTTGACAACAGAAGGTGTTCCTGGATACGGGGGTTTGGTATTCACAGCTGGAAGTCCTAGAGCAAACAGCAAGTGCAGGCTGAACTCAGAGGCAGGAGCTCTGTACTCACAAGTGCCTAAGGGAGCCCAGCTGTGTGTTTAGATGGCAACCTGTGTTGATTGGCACCTAGTTAAATAGTTATGCTGATGGCAGGGAAACGTTTGACAACAGAAGGTGTTCCTGGATACGGGGGTTTGGTATTCACAGCTGGAAGTCCTAGAGCAAACAGCAAGTGCAGGCTGAACTCAGAGGCAGGAGCTCTGTACTCACAAGTGCCTAAGGGTAAACTGTGGTTTTGTTTCCAGTCCCTTAGAAAGCAGAACATCTTTTACACCTTTGCATATTTGTATAGATGTAACAGTGGGTTTATGTGTATTCTTCTCCTGTATAAGGGCTGTACTACAAAAGCGTCTTGTCATTAAAATAAAATCCTTCCTTTCTTCCCACAATCAAGTTACTGTTCAGAGGATCTCATGCAATTCCTTTCGTCCTGTAGCAAAAAGTGGTGTCTCTGTGATATCCTCGTTGCAGTAGTACTCTTGTGTAAAGACACTGTGCTGTGAGATGGCACGTAGTATTTCCTGAAGTGGTGATTTTGCTCTGTGCATAAGGAATGGGGAACAATGAACCAAGGGTGTGACTGACAAGTTCGGTAAGGAATTGTTTCTATGCATGTAACCTTTTATTATGTGCATAACTATGACTGTTTCACTCATGAAGTCATTTCAGTTGTTCTTTTGATGTTCATGCTTGTGTACATGTACTCTAGGGAAAGGTAGCTTTTGGACTAAGATTGTGTATGGTGAATGTTTTATATGGTTTCTCTTAAGGGTAACTTACTATGTCTTGTCCTTCATGGAATTTTTTCATTTTTTAAAAATCTGAAAAAATATCCCTCCTAATGGAGTTAGGTTGACTGGAAATGACACAGAAAAGTAACATATTGCATGGAAGATACACCTCGCCTGTTTGGTTTCATACATTCCATTGTATATAAGAATTCGCACCAAATCATGTGTCCTAATTCTGTGGTATTGCTGTACTATCTCCCTGTCATTTGCAGGAAAGGAGAGAGGAGTCAAGGAAAAAAGGGGACTGGGATAGAGTCAGACATAAAGAGTGGAAAATGGAATGCATGAAAATGATGCATATATGTGTCAAAAGAAATCTGATTGTAAACGTGTGCCAAAAGTGAGGGGGGAATGGATGAACAGTCCTTGCATTGTGTTCTTCCTTCCATCCAGATGTAGTTCCAAGGCAGAGGAAGCACCAAGCATTCAAAGGATGTCCCTAGCTAAAAAGCAGAAGGTTAATTTAAAGAAAAAAAAGACAATTTCACTTTTGTCTATAGAGTAGAAATTGATAATGTTATTTATATTGGTATATATGATGATTATTCATTATAGAACTGAAAGCACCTTTATGCATCTGTGTGTAGGACTGTATGAAGGAATTATGTCCCTTAAATCTATGTTAAACAACAAATGATATAATTCCTGTTGGTCAATGTAACATATTGAAAGCTTTTTACATAACCTCTGTTTTTTAAAGGATGGACTCTTCAGTACTGTTTCACACCCGCCAAGTGCATAAATGTTTGAACTACTGTGTACAGAGAAGAAACTCTACATGTAAGAGAATCTTGGAGAACCCTGTTTGCACTGAAAAATCATCACATCGAAACTGTCCATATAAAAAGGAGAAATCGTATTTCTTAAAAACTCTGTATTAAATGAATCTTAAGCACTTTGTTATCCTTTCTAATAAAAAGTATTGTCATCAATGAGAACCGTGAATTCTTTGTGGTGCTTTGTTCAAGATTACTTGACCCCTTTCAAAATTTCATGGTAGGCCCAGATGAAATGGGGCAGCATTCGGATAGCCACTGAAATCAGTTAACCTGCAGCTAGGGGAGAAATAACTGCAGTACAAGAGCTGAATAAGCTGCATCAGGTCTTGATGGTTGAGTGTGCAGCAAGTTACGCTGATTTAAAAAAAAAAAAGTAGTAGAGCTAGATGTTAACAACTAATGGCAACATTATGGTGTAAAGTAGCTTTTATTTCACAGCATATCTATTTTGCGTCCAGGGCAGCCTCTGAAGGAACCAAATGTGGTCAGGGGTGTGAAAAAGCCTTTAAAGTGACAATTGCTGTGCCACAGAAAGGTTTGGGAGTTTTCATTTGTTTTTTTTAAGTATGCATAGAACAGCATATGGTTCCAAACAAAGCCACTTCAAACTGTTCATTCTTTTTTTTTTGCAGGTCAGAAGGGTGTGGGTTCGGTCAGATCCAACAGACACTTAAATGTACCTGTGCTGCTCAGGATGCACAGTGAGTTAAGCAGTATAGGTTTTCTAAAAGTAGCAAAGTTGAATTTTGGTCCTTCAAACTCATATTGGTGGTTGTGCACAAAATAAGTAAGGCTCACTGAAAGTATCTTGGTCGGGCCTTTGGCCGGGTGCATGCAAATTCAAGAACAACCTGGCTTTGACTCTGTTTGATTCTTTCCATCCTGGGCTTTACTCTCGGTTTGGGAAGTTTATTTCTTAGCCTCTCCCCTTTGCCAGAACTGATAGCTTCATCCCCTTTTTACGCTCCTCCTTTCACTCTATAGCATTGCCTTCTCTAGGGCTGTTCACTAGAACAGTCTCTCTCTGTGCCAAGGGTTCGGGCTTTTTCATCATTCGGTCTTCTTAAAAGGTACCTAGACAGAAAATCTATTTTCAGTTGGGTATTTTGTTCGTTTTACTGTGTGCCTACTTAACACCAGAGGAGAGGAAATGAGAGGGAGGATTTAAAAAATTATGCATGTGTTGGGTAGTCACTTCTTTTTTACAGTGCTTATCTGTTGTTTTAGATGACAGTTACCAAACTGCGATTTGCAGTCGCCAAAGGTCCAAGAGAGTTGTAAACGTGTAGGGTAAAGAACTGTTGGTAGATTGGCACCAGGATTTTGAGACTAGATGGGTCAAGCAGCTTGTGGCTTAGGGTTGTTTCAAGCTTATACAGGCAGGCAGACTGCTCACTTCCCTTAACTCCTGCCAACCCCTCAG